GAGAAGAGAAGAGAAGAGAAGAGAAGTTAAGGGAAGGGAAGACAAGGGAAGAGAAGAGAAGAGAAGAGATTAAAAGAAAGAAAAACAATCTTAGCTTGTCATCCTGAGGATGACCTCTCGTGAACCCTGGCATCAGACCACATTTATCTTGTGTCACAAAATTAATAGTCTGGGATTCAGCATGACATAACGAAACTAAAAATATTATATTCTCGTAAACAAAATTTTCGTAGCTTGCCATAGTCTCAGCTTATACTAAGTGGTACGATATCGACTTTTTCTTCTTTTAAATCTGATTTTACGGAATCATTTGTACAATCGGCAAATTATTTTTTAGGGGGGACTTTAAACAATTTCACGAGACATGCTTTTTTCATATTTAATTTTAAAATATTTTAATCATTTTCTGGAATATGAAAAATATGAATTAATTTTGTTTCGTTAATTATCTTATTACGTGGGATTGATGCTCAAAAAACTGCAAATATAACAATAAAAAGCTCGAAATTTTGATATTATAACAGTGACCACACTTCAACTTTCATAATAATGGCAATAATAATAGCTGGTACTAGTGTTGATGCGAATGCAATTAGATATGTCCGTTCGTATTGTGATATAAAATATATTTGATATCCGAGAATCTCGATGGAATGAAGTAAATGATGCTACAAGGAAAAGTTGAGTCTACAGGATAAACGATTTAACGTGTAGTCTCTAATATTCGTTCCCTGCCGTCTTCCAGTCATGCAAATCTTCTTTAAAATTTTCTTTTTTCCCAGTCTCTTTGTATATGATGAGTTCTTTCTTTCTTTGTTTCCCTTGTATTAACAATCAGTAGTTTCTAACCACCATTGGCTCACAAACTACGATCATATCAGATGATTTTTCTATCAGTGAAGATGTTCTGCTTGAAAATGAATAAATAATTAGTAACACCCGTTCATTGTGTGTATTTCTCTTGTTTTTCCTTTTTGAGCTGAAAACGGTTCCTAGATAATGATGCTTGGCTATGCATGAGGGGAATTAGAATAAAACCGTCGCTTTAAAGGTGCTTTGCATGCATTGGTTCCTGTCTCAATGCCAAAAGTGCTGAGGTTTCGTCTTGGTTTCGAGTCGTTGCATCCTTCGCTATTTTTCTTGTGTCAAAAGACACTATATTCCTAAACGGCGGCTCCTTCATATTTAAGTTCAGCCTATATTTCTTGATCTTTCTGTCAAGATGCCATAATATTTTTGTTCAAAACTAAGAATCTCCAAGTCTGCCATTCGGTCGATTCCTATATTTAACCTTTGTCGAAAATCCTCTTGATCAGCGACTGCTCTCATTGTTCGAAGACGCCACCAAAACATTGACATCAAACCAAATCCCACCATGAAGACAATGGCAGCTATAATACGATAGACTTTAGCTGTGGTATGAATCGAGCCTGTACAATTTTTATTTTCCTTGCAGAGCTTGACATTGTTGTAGGCAACCGAAAGAAGCACGAAGCATAGCGAAATCAGCACTACCCCGATAGATACGCATATTCCATTAAGAAAGATTTTCCGTGAATCTGTCTGAGGATCCAGAGGCATTGCAGATCTCCATTCTATGTCATTTATCTCATAACTTCGTCTGATCGGTTCGGTTGAGGAGATTGTTATTCTTCTTGACAAACATCTCGGAACATCTTATCTGCAGAAATTCTTGCCTTGTTTATACTAAAGGAGCCCTAAATCGTGTTTTGCTGTTTTTATTCGTAACGTGTTATTACACCAGTCAAGCTGGTTGGTGGTCGCGGTTTGAAATAATTTTCTCTTGGACAAAAAATTCTGATGCCACTACAGTTTTTAATCTGCAATAAGACGAATACCTTGGTTACCTTGACCTCACGAGGGCCTCCAGTTTCAAGCCTGTCAATTATTTTCATGTTGATGGATCAGTTGCGAGTACTGAATACTTAGAGACTCGCGTCAGCTAAAGGTGCACTTGGATGAAAATCAATGAAAATTGGAAATGACTTGCAACTTGTTTGAGCTTAACTATATGACCCAGATAGTAGCCAAGCAACATGTTTCCTTCACAGTCAAAAGTGGCGGGAAAAAATTATCAATTTTATTCAGCATCTCATTTGTGAGTAAATGGCGTCATTTACTCAACCCTATTGTTATTTTAACCCAAAATATCTCAACAGCGAGTGGCTCCCAGGCTAAAATTTTCACTAATCTGATTTTCATAATCATAATTGAGTCATATTATCTTCAAATACTTCAATTATTTGGACTTTCCTGAAATCGGAGCGTTTTCATCCAAGTGCCCCTCTAATACTGCACGCAACAGCACCGCAAGCGACAATAAAAAATATAATAAACTGATTGAAATGATGCTTCTGGAATCAAAGAACTCCCATCGCATAATATTCACAGCGTAAAAAGCATTAATTATTCTTGCAACTGGATGGTCAAGTGTTTATTTGCACTGTGGGAGTATTACTCACGGCCGACGATCAATAAGAAACACAGGCAGCCCAAGCCTCTAGAAAGTAGCCTTTCTTCCGTGGAACAATGAAATCAAAGAACCTCGGAGCAACCTCGAATTAAGTCATTGGTAGTGTGTATAAAACTAAAAAGATTTTTTTCCGAAGGGAGGGTGGTTCTGAGTGACGGTAACGCTGCGTTCACACTTTTTAAAACTAAATGGATAACAGAGCACTAACAAAAACTTCAACTAGGGATTTTTTGACCCCTGCTACGGCGTAGTAAACCGGGAGATTGGACTAGCCTTATTTCTATTACTATATACATTATACATTTACATTAGAAAAATTAAAATACATTTTCTATGACATTTTAGAGTGTTTCTTTCCAGAACATAATTTACCTGAAATAATAATAATAATAATAATAATAATAATGATAATAATAATAATAATAAATAATAATAATAAAAGACCTAAGAACAATAACAAATACAGACAGGGAAGTGAACTTTCTTATAGAACGATGCCAGAAATGGATTTTAAGCCAGAACGTTAATATAGTCAAGAAATTCTATGAATATGCATCAGCTGAAGGAAGGATTGAAAAAAATGATGAACTTAACCAGCCTAGACTTAGTCCGCTGGTCATTGTAAACATGATATATACAGACAAATAAAACTTGCCATAATAATATCTTTATTTATCCTGATTTAAAAAACCGATCAGCTGGACACGATAGAACAGCTGGTATGAACCGGTGATCAGCAAGAGAGGTTGAGCAGTAAACAAATCATAGTGGCTTTTGGCTTGTGGCAACTCTAAGTGCTTCAAAGGGTAGCACACGGTAAATTCTATTCAAGGTGATCCCCCTCAATCCCAAGACTATCGTTGGCCGCTACTGCTCTTCTTTTAGAAATGCTTTTCTTTTTGGAAGTTTTTGGTCCCGAAATATCTTTTTTGTCACGTCTAATCCGACAGAAAATATCCTGAAGCTGAAATGACATCTAAAGCGAATAAGAAAAAAAAAGGAATAGAATGATCCAGGATCGATGGGGTAAAAAAATCTCATTCAGTTCTTACTTCCTGGCAGCCGAAAGTTTTTCAAGCTCGGTCCCAGTGATGAGCATTGAAGAACACCCATAATGGGAATTTGTCAGTTAGTTTAAATATAAATACAAAGATGAGAATATGTGGACCGAAGGTCGTGTGTTCGATTCCCAGCGAGGTCGGAAATTAATTTTTCCGAATTTAATTCCAAGGGCTTTCGCCCGGAATAACCTCGTTCCCAAGCACTATAACTTATCTATATTTCCATATCTTTATAAAAATACAAAGCCTTAAAAGCTTATCAATTTTTAATAATTTACTTACGCAAAGAATCAACTTAGAATCAACTGTTAGTACTCAAGTAGACTAGGAAGACAACTATTTTTTCTTGCTTATCAGGGCCGCGAGTTTCCGAAGGTCAGATTTACGTTCGTTCGGGTTCAAGAAAGGCTTTCCAAATGCCAGCTATTTTCTTTTTCTTTTCTTTCCCTTTATTTTCTGGAATCATCAAGGACCCAGCATCTAGCTTCAGTAATCAGCTTCATCTTTCTGTGTTCCGGACAATTCAGTCCAAGCGTGGCTTTCTGCGTTTAGCTACCCGTTACATTTAATTGAGAGCGTCTGACGTACTCAATATATTTGTAATAGACGGAAGCTAAATCCCGACGTCTAGAACCTCGGTAGAGCAAAGGAACCTAAAAGGTTCTAATGACTGCAGGTGTTTTTCAGTCTTCCACAATGCAACGCTGATTAATGAGTTATCTAATTAGTGATTTGGTCCTGCTGTCTAGTATAATTGGAACTCTAGCAACCCCCAAAAGAAAACTAACACATACAACCACTTCAGCCTTGAGACTCTTCCTTCGCCTATTTCGTTTAAGAATGGAGTTCTTCAGAACACCAATGGCATAGAAGCTATCAAGTATCTTCTTGTTCGTGGTTGTTGACACAATTTGGTTGTCTTGTAGGATGCATTGATTATTTAACAACTTTAATATCCAATCAAGACTGTCTTGCAACTGAAGGTTTACATATGAAACAACGGCCTCCATTGTTCAAGGATTACTTACAGATTCACGTCTTTGAATTGATCTAAACTCGAAGCATAATCATTATGGTGTTTATCGCTTTTCGAATTCTTCTGTCAGTAGTTTAAACTAGAAGCTTAAGCTGACATTTTCTTGAGGTTTCGACAACTTTTGATTCTCCTGTATTTTGGGAAGCGCTTGGTTTTTCTATCCTTCCATCGATGGATGTAAATAATACCACGATGGAGAGCTACATAATCATTAGTAATCGGTTCAAAATACCTTTGTTTTGTATCTTGGTATTAGAGTTGTCAGTTGGTTTTATGTCTTGTGCAAGTGTTATATGGATTTACTGGAAGAAACGGCATATCCGAACAGCAGCAAACTTCTTCATCACAAATCTTGCGGTGGTGGACGCTCTGATCAGTGTCTTTGGAATATCCTTTACAATCGCTCGTCTTGGTTTATTTCCTCTGCATTCACAGTTATTTTGTCTTTCTCACGAAGGGATAACGTCCGCCTTGAGGAATGCTTCAGTAGCGACATTGTTATTGATCAGTTATGACCGATACGAATCGATTACCAATCCATTTAGGCTTCGGATAAATTTTAAAAAGGCAAAACGTGCTTTGTTTTTCCTTTGGTTGTTTGCCGGTATTAGCTTTACTTTGCCGTTCATCGAATATGGCGTTAAAAAAGACAACATTCATCCATTGCAATCCTGCGTCTACTTTTTCAGCAAAACATCCTCAAGTTACAGAATTCGACTTTACTATTTCCCAGTATTTTTTATTGCAACGATAATAACTTTGCCGTGCTACTGGAGAATTTCAAAAGCAGCTTTATCAAGGATTCATCATATTCAATCTATTGTGGTAAAGACATCCTTAGTGATACCAATGGGACCTAGTTTGGATAGACGGAGAGAAACGACACATCTAAGACAAAAGGAATGGAAAGTTGCAAAGATGACTGGGGCAATAATGTGTTCCGTGTGCATCCTATGGTTCCCTTACATGATATTTACATTTATTCTGAGCTTCCGTACGCCAAACTCAACTCTAGCTAAATTGGAGTACATTTTTCTAGTACTAGGATATTTAAACTGTACTTTGAATCCACTTCTCTACGCCTTCACTAAACAGAAATTCAGAAATGCCTTCTTGCGAACTTTGCCAAAATTTGGGAAATGGAAGAACACATAGAAGAAGTTCCAATGCTGAAAGGAGCTGTTTGTTGAATGTTCTTCAAATAGTGTGACAGAATGACATACGTAAAGGCTTATTAAGCAAACAAAGGCGTCTCTATGTATTTGATATTACAAGTTTTCGTTATTATTTGTGGCGTGTGCTTGAATTTTCCTGTTAAGGGAAAACTAATTGTCGCTAGTTTCCTCTGTAATTTAACTCAAAAAACTAAGCGAGAATTCGCTTCATTCAATCAAATCAGACGGACTGTTGTTTTTTTTTTAAAGATTATCGCATCGTGAATACAGTTTTTTGTACAGTACGCGCATTTGCCTTTGATCGGACGCTTTAAGATAACCGCCTCTTCAATATAACCCCATTCATGGTACAAACACGAAAACCAATTTCATGTTTAAATTCCCCATCATTTATATTTACAGTTTGCAATTTATTCATCTCTCTAGAAATATAAGCAAAAAGATTCAAGAAACTTTATATTGTGTTTCAAAGAGTGATGCTTTGTACAAATTTTTTTTGGAAAAATATAAAAAAAGTTTGATGTGTAATGTTTATCATAAAAACAATAAAAATAACCTATGGATACACAAATGCACCTAATTCAGCGAGAAAGATTTATTTCCACCAGACGTGCAGCTGTCGATTTGCATTTTTTGGGGGGATAAAGTAAAAGTTGTCATAGCAATGATATTAGAATGATTATAATTTCACGAATAACAATAATTATAATATCAAGGAAACAGGTCATCTACGACGCTGCAATTCGTTACACCAACTTCTTCACTATGAAAAGTCTGTATTTTGAATGAATTCAAACATTCTGAATAAGATCCCATAACCAGAATAACTTGTTTAAAGTTTCTTATCGACTGGACTTAAAGTGCTACTTGGACGAAAATCGCTCCAAAATTAAAACTCTTATGGTTTTGTTACCCCCAGATATTTCATTGGAATTCGCACAATCGATTACAAAACAAGTACATGTATACTATTACTACTGTAAAAAAAAAAAAAAAATTGGCACAAGTTCTAAAATTCTAAGGAATGAACTTGGCTATGTTCCTAATATACGAAACAACGAACGAAGAGCAAGAATAGAATTCATAACCAATGACGATGCCATAGCAACGCAACTTATGCTATTGTTAGGAACCAAGTGAAATTAATGCCCAGAAATCAATTTAGACTTCGATCAATTTTTTCTAGTTTCAATGTAAAAATTGATGTCTCGTCTGCTAAATTATTAAGAATATTTGTAAGTCAAATCTTGATGTCATGCATTAAAGTTATAAATTATTTACAAAGGTGTTCAAAATTAATTAGGAAAACCTTGCAAACGAAGTTCCTTCTCAATCTTTTTCTCTGTGGATTAATAATCTGTACTCTCATAACTACACAAATAAAATATTTTAAACTTCTAACACTGCTAATAATTTTCTTAATATATTTCCAAATAATAAAATACTTTTCCGATACCGCCGTTATTTATTTGACAGGCGATATCTGTTGCCTAGCCACGACAATATACCCATCACTTGACTTAAATATTATTCGATGTCTTGGTTTGTTGGCAATCAATTTTGCGAAATAAATATTTGCCACTGACATAAAGAAAAACGAGTACGCTAAGAATACTAAAAGGCGTATGCTCGTGGAAAAGTCCTAAACTAAAACGACACGTTAAAATTACTCTTTAAAAAATTAGTGGAAAGTTCACAATTGAAAAGTGTAAATACAAATTCTGCCCTATGGGAAAAAAGCCCCCAGGCGTTATTGCATATGACACGGAGACTTGAATACCACGAAGTTCTGCCCAAAATATTAAACGGTTGCTCTTGGATATTGAAACGAGTTCTTGAATCGTATTCAGAAGATTTATAGTTGGGCATGGGCGGATAGAATGAGATAAGCCGTCTTGATTTCCAGAAAGATCATGCCAGCAGAGTTAAAAACACGCGCAATGTCTTGCAAACTTCGAGTACGGTTTCACTTTAGAAGCAGGCATATGAGACTGATGAAAATAACTAAAGACATACAGGATGATAGCTAGATCGTGTTATTTCAAGATTTATCAGTGACTGTATCAGACATTATTATCGCCATTGGAAGATGGATGGGATGGAGGGCTAGATAAAAATGGGAAGAGGGCCATATCTTGTTATGTCAAGCCTTAACAGCGACTGTATCTGACATTAGCGCCTTTGGAAGATGGATGGGATGGAGGGCTAGATAAAAATGGGAAGAGGGCCATATCTTGTTATGTCAAGCCTTAACAGCGACTGTATCAGACATTACCGCCATTGGAAGATGGATGGGATGGAGGGCTTAAAGATGTCATAGACGATTAATCGGGTCATTAGCAACAATGACCAATTATATATTTTGAATTTGTTCGCCCCGAAAGGAGTATTTATTCGTTTATAAAGTAAGCAAACTACTCTGGCAAAACTCAAAATATTTAGTTCAAAATCAAGTTAATATTATATTATATTTGTGAACATGAACTATAGTAAAATGTAATTCTGTTACGACAATCCTTTAAGAATTAAAAACAGATGGTCATACGCATGCATTTTTTTAACAATATCAAGCACATAAAGCGAGCCATTTAGAATGATCACTTAATAGCCTTCAAAATATCCTTCAATGCGCTGAGACACTAGTGTTGACGTCATTTTAGGACGCGTTTAGGAAGTGTGCACAGATGGTTCTAGGATTTTTCATACTGTGACGCTCCCAGAGTAAGAAAAAAAAGACGCCCTTGGGGATCGTGATCAAGGCTGAATTAATATTAGGACTAGGACATCACAGTCATTAACATATTAAAGAATAAACCTTGATATTTCCAAGATGCATCACTGACTCAAACCATATAAGAATATTTTACCATTCAACTATTCGCTTTATCTAGAATCAATGAGTGAAAATATGGAAAATATTAAGCAGTGTGATACGAGGTAACCGGCGATATTCACGGGTCGACTTACATAGATAAATAGAAAAAAGATACGTAAGGAATGGGAAAGTAATGAGTGGTCAAGCAGTAAGATTTAGGGCAAGCATTTTCAAAGATTGTACAAAATTTAGATATCAATAAAATATATTAGATGCCACCAAGAATGCACTTCAGGCAAAATGTTGAGATTTCTCGTAAAATTTCTGTACATATTACAGACAAAACGAGATGTCAAAAGTGTATGTGCAAGAATCGTAGTGCGAGCTAAAAAGATGAGGATATTCAAAATTTTGTCACCCTGCTTCATTTTTATAAGGGTGAGGAGGGCAGGGTAAATTTCTCATTTGCAAACTCTAACAGACCCCTTGCATGTGACGTCAAAGCAGCTCGAGCAGGTGGACAAAACAAAGGAATTCCAATCTCCTGAGAATTGGAACCAATTTTTTGTCTCCCAGATTGAGCTGCATTCCAAAGTTCTGCAAGGGGTCTACAACATCGTTTTGTTTTGTAAAAATATTTGTACAAATGTACAAATGTTTCCTTGCATGGATAGATACAAATTTATAGCTAGTGTACCTAAATTTTTAAAAGTAAACCCTACTTTCTAAATGGACAAAAACGAGACATTTTAGTTGTACGTGATGGATGTACCACGTCCCCTAATGACAGGGGAGGATTAAAATATGATACTAAACCTATTGGATTTTGGTCATGACTTTTTTTGACGTGGTTTTTCCATCGTAGGCGAGAGACCAAGTCGTGATTGAGCCATTTTGCCTCTTAATCTCATAATTTCCCAATAAATTTCAGTAGCTTTGGAAAAAATGAAAAAAAAGTGTTGTTAGTACAGGAAAGGTGTTTGTTTGTAGACCAAAACTTGCCAGGAAAACATAGAATGTGACATTTGAATGGCATATTACTTTTCCGTAATTGAGGGCTTAGCAAAAAAAAATGTCTCAAGTTGTGGTTACTTGGTGCAACATTGCGCTCAATATTGCATGCAAACGACGTTGCCACTAATATCAGACGAAGCAATTTGCTGCACGCAATGATGCTGAAGTACAAAACGATCCTACTTCAGCAATGTTGCCTGCAATGTTGCGCGCAATGTTACATCGCGTGTATTCGCCTTTAATCAAGCAATGCGAGGAAATTTAGATTGGTATTCAAAACTTGACTGTGTTTGGATACAGGCAGAACTAAAGCTTAAATCTTTATAGAAAACGAATGCCATAATGTCATGAACACTAATTATTAAACAATCTGAATCGTGGAATAGAACAAGTGCGGTAGCCTAGCACAAAACTAAGATGTTAGGATGAGAATAAATGCTTTGAACCCCGTTTGAACCCAGTTTGCTTTGAAGTGTGATCGTCCAGTTGAGTGTAGTTTTGAGAAAGACTGTTGTTGTTGGTGACTTACAACCTGAGCGAAAGTCATCTTCAGAGTCCAGTGAAAAAACGAAGATGATATGAGATTTAAGCAAGTTCTAGAAGATTTGCATAAAGATTTTTAAGCGACACAACCTAACAAGTAATTCTACCCAAGATTCTCGCACGAAGCCATCCGTTTGGGGTTTATGTTGTATTGCGCAAGTCTTCCTTTAAAAATAACGACAAAAAAAGAGTTTTGCTTACCGTCAGCTTTGACCAAACCTCGTTGAATGTACCGAATATAAGTATAAAAATCACAAACAGCAGCTATCTGTGGAGAAAAAACGAGCATCAACATCATCCGTTACCTTATCACTACGACTGCGCCTCACTCTAATTTATACATCTTAAACGATGGTTCACAGACGAAGACTATTTGCACATCATTAAGCATGAAATTTTAGCTTGTTTTGAAGAGCTTTTTTCCAAGCTGATGCTCATAACCTAAGGCGGGCTGCGAACTAAGCTGCAACTTCACAACTTTTTGACTTATCAAAATGTAGTTTCCATTGTGACGTTTTTAACTGATACCTATGACGTTACGCACACGCTCGTCCCAGACTTTCGACCAACAGGTTCGCGTGGGAACTGGAGTTTGATGGGACATATATAAGTCGAAATTGAAAAAGTAAAATGCATGCACAATTACGAATCGGATAATATGCAGCATACAGGCAGTGTTTGTGTACTAGTATTATCTTTGCTGTCTACAACTACCAGCTATTTCATTTATCAACAGTGCGTGACAAACTGATGCAACGGTATTTGCGCAAGCAAAAATTATTTTTCAAACTCCACATTACTTGTTTTGTTACTTAGCTACATGCGCGCGTCGCTAATGCGACAAATTAAGGCTTATTGTGACGTGTAATTCTGTTATTGTAACGCCATCTGCGCACTCAAGAATCAAATAGTTCAGTTGAAATCAAGATTCATTATTTTGTCGAACTTGAAATTTTTAATAACTTTTTGCACTCTCCGACACAAACGACACACTGAAGAAAACTTATGGTAACGGGTTGAACACAAACGGCACACTGGAGAAAATTTGTGGTAACGGGTTGAAACGTTTGCAAAAAAAGTCGCTAGAACTTCAGTTGGTGCTTTTTCACGCTTTAACAGGACCTTCTTGAAAATCACATTTATAAGTGAAGAAGCTTCTTGTTAAAATATGAATGTAAATAAAGAGAACGGCAATCGTTAACGTTTTGAACTTGTGTTCGCGTTATCATCCTAGCGTCGCCGTACAAGTCTTGCCGTCCTCATGAGTAAGGTTTCTAATGTCATGTCAGAGACAATAAATTTCAAAACATCAAGAATTTCTAATAGCTTTGTTACTAGACTGCGAACAGTCCCTCTATTTCCCTTGGTCACTGTCTGTCTGTCTGTCCGTGTCGATTAGCCGAGGAAGATTGGTTACGAGTCCAGCCCCCTCCCCCGGGGACTTTTGACTGGTAACCAATATTCCTCGGCCAATCAACACGGAAAGACAGACGGACAGTAACAAAGGGAAATAGAGGGACTGTTCGTAGTCTATTTTGTTACACACCCTATCTCTGCTGCTTCTACAGATGTTTAGCCACTCCTGGTTGTCTGATATTCTTACACGATGACGACAAAACCGTGAGGTTCCCGTCAGAGCACATTTCCTACAAAAAGCAATAAGATATTCAATTTGATTCGAGAAAAAATTATCACAGTCTTCAAATCTCTTGAAACTTTTGCTAAGATATGGAAAGATTTTGTAACCATAATATTCCTATTTTGATTTCTTTTTTCTTTTCTTTTTTTCCTAATAATATTTTGCGTACATTATAGTAATGGGCCCGGTTATTATAATTTTGTTTATAATAATGGGTAATAATAATGGGTTATAATAATGGGGAAGTAGTCTCAGTATACATTGTTTCGTAGACTAGTTTTATTCTTTACAAACCTTTCGTATCACTAAAAACAAATCTACCAACAAACAAACAAGACAGGAAAAAGAAAAAAGAAAAAAAGAAAAAAAATAGGAAGGAAAACCATACTCATAATAAAGATATTTGAATTTACTTTTCACCTACAGTATACCTGAAGATTGGCTTCGACCTAATTTCCTCCATTGATAGTACATTATTTTCAATGGCATGATGGATAGCGATGGCCAACTAAATGTACGAAATAAAACAGGGAAAATATTAATAACTAGAAAATGACAGGCTAAATTTATACAAGAAATAACAAATATACTAATAACAAATAAAAAAGAATGGATAAAACAAAAAATATGTAGTAGCTG